GCTTCAGACATCCTGCCCACGCTTCTCTTTCATTCTTCAAAGAATACGCAGCCATTTTTCGACTTCATTCTTATCTACCAGATGAATCAGATTGACTTCTGACTTATGTTTTTGTTCGCATTCCTTCCTCCAGCTCTCTACTGGTCAACAAATTTGTGAATTTCAAACTGTCAATTCTTCTCTCTATGTAGTTTCCTTCCTCTTCCTGTTAAGCACCTACCGTTTTCAATACCTCACCCCTTTAGGCACCAAGATCGTCAATATGACTCCCTTCAGCGGACTACTGTAGCATCATTCTACCTTCAGAAAATGATGGACTTTGAAAAGCTTGAAGTCACGCTCCGCGTTCATTTCATGTTCAGACGCTGTCCTTGTACAGGGTAGTCCCAAACGGAGCATGTACTTCTGACGCAGCTTGAAAATACCCTAGGAAAGCGCGACTCTCCTGCGACGAGGCTACGGCCCCGCCCAGTGGCCACAGCAACGCCCAAGGTTCACTTTTATTTGCTACGTGATGATGCGACTGTTCGGCTATTAATTCTCGGGCAACGGTTAGGACTCCACCAAGGGTCAGCCTGCCGCCGCAGCGCGGCGAGGAGAGGCGGACCGCGCGGCGTTTGCATCCATCCGTTACATTTCCATCGGTCTAGTTTATTATTTGCGGGTGTGAAAATTGTGAACAGAAAGGGTCCGAGTTCAACTATTAGTATAAACTAGCGTCATTTACGTAGGCATACTATTAAGGGAATGCATTAACAATACCCAAAACTTCACTCTGGGTTGAATACTTCTTTTGACTCAATTGTAAGGTATTGTAAGGGCCTGCACTTTGCTTGAAGGGGGAGGGTAAGTCATAAGTACTAGAGAACTGAAGATATGAGCCATACGATGATTCTAGATAATCAATGACTCTGCCCTACTCACTTTGCTACCGCTGGGCAAAAAGAGGTCAGTCATCGACTGATGGGAAGACCTCACAATGATTCCCCATGCCGAAAAAGAGTTGAAAAGAGCTAGAATCATGTATTCTGCTATTGAGCGATCGCCGCGCGCGGCGAGGCGAAACCTGGCAGCCGTGACCTCTCGTGAAGTCCCAACCTACATCCAGTTTTGGCCGACTTGTCGCCGTTAGGGGTTATTCGGTGGAACCATTCCCACTGCATAGAGCATCGACCTCTCCCCCACAACACTCTCAAGAGCCAATTCATTTCAAGCCCTTGGGAAGCTTGTAACCAAAAGTGAATATCAGACTCGGAACCAAACATGGAAAGCTTGTAACCAAAAGTGAATATCGGACTGGGACCAAACATGCTTTTAAGGAAGTTCCGGCGCCTTTCGGTTTGGTTGGAGGGACATCAACCGGTACTCAGCGAAGCTGGTATCTGTGAAGATCAGTGGGGAATAGTGAACGAAGTGGCTCACCTGCACCACTTCGCAGCCTCAAGAATTTATAGGCGAGATAAGATGCACTACCAGTATGAACTAGCGGAAGCGCTGGATGTCCCATCTTCCCCCCCCCCCCCAGCCTCAAGCCGAACAACGCCGAAGTTTCTCCTGAAAAGCGGCTCTGAGGGTTCTGGTTGTGACATGGCGCTGAAGGTGAACCTCAACGTAATTCAGGGGGAGACACATAGCCTTTCGGTAGTCTACGTCTGTTTCGCGAGTCCAAGTCACGAATATTCTGGTCGTCTGCATTCTGCTAGGCTGAACATTGGGCAGGAAGGCGCATGGCGGCACAGCAGCTGCCCAACCGGGAAAATGGTGGAATTTCACTGCTTATGAACTCCCAACGAAGATCTCCAATGCATAACGAAGGGAGTTTTTTTTCTTTTCCTAAGCGCTTCGGAGCTGCTCTGGAAACGTGCCATTAGGCCCTCAGTAATGTCCCAGCCCACACTGTGATCGTTAACCGCCCCCGAACTACAGAATTAGGCCCAGGGCACGGTGGCAATGAGGATCCCCAGCGAGGGTGGGGCTATACCACACGAGCCACGAACCCTTTCCACTGCTCAACGGCTGTCTCTGAATAGTAAGAAGCGGAGAGTCTGGGAACGAAAACATCTGAATGATCGATCAGGGTCGCACCAAGAGGGCGGAAATTTGAGGGGCATCACGATTGGCCGTTTCATCGCGGACGAGCCATACTCTAATGACTCTCGTGCGATAAAATCAGCTGATCGGGCCAACATTTCACCGAACGCAACATCAATCGCACCAAACCTGCGCCTTGGTGTTGTCATGTGCGCACCACTGACGCTATCTCGGTGTTGGCACAGGTCGTGGTACCGGCGCAGCCTAAAAAATTCACCCATTTACTGGACGTTTGGTAGGTGGGGGGGGGGGGGTCTTAACGGAGCTGTCCTCGAAGAACGCCCTTCAGGGATGTTCTTCTGATTCCGATATGTTCCTCGTCTTCGGCACTTTTTCCTGTGCATGTTGTTTTATGTGTTAGGCAAAGAATTGGTGGTGAAATCCCGCTGATATGCTCCTATTCGCTTTTGATTTGTGGTGAACAGTTGTGTGTACTCAAGAGGTGCCATTTTTAATTGTTCGACTCCGTGCCATCCAAGTACTGACGGGCTGCTAATTTTCACGTCCCCTCCGCAGGCGTGCTACGTGAAGGACATTGATCGAATTCGGTCCTTCATCGGAGCGCCGGTATGTGTTCAAAGGTTGACGTTCCTTTGTTTCGCATCGTTATATTTATGCAAGCAAAACATGTTTTCCTCCTTCGCGCTCTTCTTAACAAATCCAGCATTTCATGGAACGAACATACTTGACTTCACCATTCTAATAACTGATTTAGGTGGGTTCTTTTTCCACGCTGAAGCCAGGCAGTGCTGTAATTATTACCCCATATGCTCAATACATGCACTACAAAAGTGTAAAGTTGATTGTTTGAAGTTCGTAGAAAGAAGACTGCCTTAATTAATATAGCCCACTAGCATGCATGCCAATGTTCAGAGTTATCGCCTAATGCATCTGCTTCCACGTCTAGCGCCCCGCTTCTCGCTGCTTTCTCTGGAACGGCAGCGGTTCCGTGCGAAATGCTTTTTGTATACGTATCGATCTGGCGAGGCCGAAGAGTGGGCGGTTGGGCGAAGAGGTTTTGATACGAATCGACGGGAGTTCAGCCATACCACGACGTTTTTTGCCTTCGACGAACGCCAGCGAAATCGATACGCATTTCCCAACCGCCGTTTCGTCAGGGTCGCAGACCGTGAACAATGCCTAAGGTAGCGTTCAGACTTCGCGACGTAGCGCCTCGGCGCGTTAGACGCGATCGACGCAGTCGAAAGCATGCGCATCGAACACGCGACCGAAGCGCTGCCGTCGCGAAATTTGAACGCTGCTGCGTCATAGCCGGTCGCTCTATCCTTTAGACCGTCCGCACGAGCGTGTCGCCGCGGCCCTTGACACGGCTGCCGGTTTCACTAGTGATTGCAATCTCTGTCAACGCTATTGAGAAGCAATCTCACTGATGCGGAGTATAGCTGTTGATAGGGTAGTCCATGAAGCCTAATACGTCCTACAAGTGCGAATTCATCGATAGGAGATCAGAGTAAGGTACCTGCTCTTCTCCTGTAATATGTTCCTAGAAATCCCCATCATGGACAAAATGACCAACTTTGATTCGAAATTGGATGACTGAAATAAAAACCCTGGGCACCACAATATCGATAAGGAGCAACCTACACCAGCGGTTGCCAAGGATGGCCGAAATCCTAACTTGTTTTCTTGAAGTACGCTCACTAGAGAAAGCGAACACGACCATGGATGACCGTTTGATCGTCCTAAGGGTACCTGTCTCATCAAGCCATTCTGTCGAAGTGCTATGCATTTCTGGGAGACGATTTTCACCAATATGCATGTTTTGCCACCCAATTCATTACTACAACCCTGGAAGTCGTTGGTTCTATTAATTTGAACATTCAGATAGTGAGGTCGTGCGGTTTATTGGCCTGAACTCACATTAGCTGAGACTTTCTCGAGGGAATCAGTGAGTTTCAAAGATTGAGCGTGATGTCCCAGTTAGTCAAATAGCTGACCGAAATTAGGATGTCTCGCAAAGAACATGTCCTTCTTATCGAGTGATTATGATGTAATGGATGTTCAGAAGCAAGACCGCTCACAGAACTTTCGAGAAAGTTGCCATCCACTTCATGTTTTTGCGTATCCGAATCATTCCAATGCTTTTCGATGCCCATTCTTCATTTTTGTTGCGCTTCTTTATATTCAAAATGTGAAAGCTTTATAAGCCTGTGAAAACCGTTAAACTACATTGGTGGCCACTACCAACCTTAACATTTCATTCCCTAGCATTCTCACAAGCTGTAACTATACAGTCGAGTCATTTCTACTCAATTTCAACTTCGCGTCCTCGTCTCCTGCTCGCAATCTCTGTCGTGGACGCACAAAACCACGAATGGCAACATGCCAAAGGCAGCGCGCGCGACCACCGCTCTGCGACGGTCTAGGAATAGAGGCGCCCTCATAGCGAAGTCTGAACGCTGCCTAATTGATAGCTAGGCCGCCGTCACAATGACTATCGTTTTTGCGTCTCAGGATATCTGTCAACCGCGAGGCCTCCTTTCTCCATCCTTACTTCTCACTCCTTCCTCTTTTCCTTTCTTCATTCTCTCTTACAATTTCCTGAGCTTTCCGCGAGGCACCGTCACGTTGGATGTCTCGGCGAGAGAGTTGGTACCTTGCGTCGCTGAAGGGAGGGTTGTATTTGCTCTTTGTGGAAAATGCTTTTTACTGCTGCTTACATACCGGAGTTTTTTTTGTTTCATGTGCTGTATGCTCCCTCCTCAGGGCTGTTTACTGAGGAAAAAGCGGAGTTTTTGAAAAAAAAACTCCAGACAAGTGATAGGGAGTTGGAAAAATTCAGGGCGATGGGAGGTAGGATGGGGAAAGTGTTCGTCAGAGGAGTGGCTTTTGAGGGGGGGGGGATTTTTCAAAATTTTTTCCCGAGCGGTAGGAAATGCCTTGTTTGAATGATCACCCAGAAGGTACCATGAGAAACAACATCTCTCGACCCTTCCCAAGTTTGTTTCAGAGAATTTATTGACCGCGTTTCTCGACCCCTTCCCTAGTTTATAGCCAACGGCATCTGCAGTTCTATTCGAAAATCGGTCAGTCACGACATTGAGTCACTTTTCACCTTATGTGATGGCGGACTTAAGTGTAAAAATCCCATTTAAGAAGCTCTGGAAGATAAATCGCCAAATTGTGGTCCCTGTGTTGTCAACAAAAAATCGATATACAATTCATAAATTTGTAAAGAAATCAATCGCACTTTCTTCGAACTTCTCAGTACACTATTGCAAAGTCAAAACTACCTCGTTTCAGGTTCTGTAATTCCTCCTGGAATTGCGGATACCTTGAATTTGGCCCCATAATCAAGCTGTCGAATGTCAACACCAGTCCAGGAAGGCGATCCCCGTGGAAACAAAAGCAACGGGGGATCAGCCTGATCAGAAAAGTGTGCCCGCCTCCCACCACAAGGTGCGCTAGTTATTTTTTTTGTCTATTTTTTTCCAACCTGGAATCAGTGGGGAACGTTTTGAGCTTCATAAGTGCGCGAAAATGGACAAAGTGTCCCTCTCCACTGATGATTTAACTTGTGGTCTTTCAGAACAACAACCGTCATCGTCGCCGTTCGAACACTAAAGAAGGAGTGGGGCGGATTCATCGCGTAGTGGAAAGTCGAACAATAGTCAGTTCGAAACAAAGGTGGTAACTCAGAAGACCATTTCAGTCGCATTTCGATTTTTCGCATGCTGCTGATGGCATAGAAATCTGTGAAGAGGAAAAGGCCGGTGGGCTGGGTTCTGTAGATGTGCTCACACTTAGACAGTCACAATTATTCAAATTTGTGCCTTCGGCGACGGCACTTGCGTGCGACATTGATCCCCTACGAGAGGCGTTGTATTCGGTTGCCTAGAGGAGAGGGTTTCCAGGTTGCCAGTTTTAAGATAATCTACGCGCTTAAAGCCAGCTTCGCGATAAAAGTTGCCGCCAAGAATAATTGCCTCAAGAACACCACAAACGAAATTGCTCCCTTACAGTTACACCGCCCTGCGATCCGTGGGCAACCCCTGGCTCGAAAATCTCTTTATCACATCTCTCAGTAGTGGATATCATCCAATGCAATGAAAAGAATACGGAAAACAACAAAAATATATGAGGAAAAACTCCTGAAAGGCAAAAAAAAACTTTCAAAGACACGGCGTCCGAATTTGGGTTACGGTAGCGAGCGGCTTTTAGTGCATGTTGCTAGTCGAGCTTTTGCACCACAAAAATTGCATCACTCGTGATTTCTATGCGTTTTACCTTTTGTTTTTTGGTTGTTTTTTTTTGTGGTGGTTTTTTCTATTTTACCTTACGAGATGGTTGCATTTGACTGTATGTGCTCTCAATGAATGAAATGTGATAAAGGAGAGCAGAGTTATCTAAGGGCACCATCGCGGTCTGCAAAAATGACTTGCAATCCCGAGTATTGCCCGCCGTCCCAACAAAGAGCAACTGAGCGCTCTCCGGAGCGGCAGCTAGCAAGTGAGGCGGTCCAACTGAGCGGGCGTTAGAACTAGAACTTTGAGCGGCTGTAGCTCGCTTCTCGCTCACTGTGGAGTTGCGAGAGTGGGACAGCATCTAGCTTGGGGCTGAACTACCTGTACAAGGAAGGACGACCATGGACTACTTGAGCGCGGGGGCTGTCTTTAAGGACTTGTCAGCGTCACTCTTTGTACAAATTTCTGGGCTTCTGTTCAGCGATCCCAATTTCGCGCTTCGCACTATGACGTAGCGCCTATAGCCCTTAATAACTGCGCATATCTGACGCCTTCTCAGTTGTCCTGCCCATCCCGCCCACCGATACTCAAGGGCTAGTCTCTGCCACAAGTTCAGTTTTACACCACGTTTCCTTTTTTTCGTACTTAGACAATATTAGAAATGGATGAAACGATTATTGAGCGAGAAGTGGCAAGATATCTCTTTGCTGATTAAAACGAGCAGGTCCAGAGGAGTCGGCGCCAGGTCTCTTCGCTTAGGTGCTTCTGCATGTTTTGTTTTGCTTTTTCCCTGAGCTCATTAACCGACTATAGGTTTCTAACTGAACGGCCACTGTCCACAATAGCAATCCGCGGGTTTCGGGGCCTTCAAAAGTGATGCTTTAAACGTCTTCTTCCTTCCAATTTTTCAATGCAGTTTTTTGGGGGAAAGCTGACAAAATAGTGGGGGATGGGAAGGAAATTGTACCGGACATTTTGAGGAGGTCGTACTTCGAAAATATATTCCCTAGCGGCGGTCGTCGCCTTTTCACGGAGATCCGGCTAGAGAAATAGCGCTCAGTCGCAGATGTGAAGGTGTGCGTAAACAGTGCGTAGTAGAACAGGCATAGAATTTTTCATGTGTATGCTGCGTGCAAGCATCATCCTCCTCTATTTCAAAGATTTGGACGCAAAATGTCTACTTCACAATATTCATAGTTGACTGATTAGGCACCTTGAGAAAAATTCATCTCATTTTTCTCAAAAAGAACTTCGTTAAGATCGCCCACGTCGCAAAGATTGGACGGAAAGAAAGAGCTTGAGTCAGGGTGCCAAAGCCGATGGAGAAAGCAAGAATAATCAACGGAATAAGGAGAAGGACAACAACCCAGCACATAAGAGAACAAGAAGTACAAACTGTGAGCGATTACTCCTATGATTTTTTTATGCACTATTAGAAACTATCGTAAGGCCGTTTTATTCTTTGCGCATAAGAAGAATTTCTCTTTCTTGCGGGTCTGCCATTTGAGGGACTGAACGATTCACTAGTTTGCGCGAACTAGTGGATCCCTATCTGATCTTTCGTCGCATTCTCCTGAAAGGTGTATTCTGCCGTGCTCCAACTCAAAAATATGAAGTGTGATTTTTGATATTTTTCACGAGAAGCCTTCAAGTATTAGGTGTCCGCGAAAGTTCTTAGCGTTTGGACCTATTTGTACTTCACTAGCTATTAAAAACTGCAATTCTCTCTCTCTCAGCAGCACATTCCTGCTAGAGGAATTTTCTTGCTATCTGATGGTATAATTGCCGTTTCACCACTGCTTGATAAACCCCCTTTTTTCGAGACTTTTCGAAGCATGTGAAAAGAGCACTCGGACGATTTTTTTCTTCGGCTATAAATTGGGGCAATCCGCAATCGAAACAGCTCAACAAATTAACCAGGTGTGGGGCCCAATAGTGCTAGAGAAAGCACTGTGCGGCAATGGCTCAACAAATTTCGTTCTGGAGATTTCAGCCTTGAAGGTGAACCTCATAGCGTCGACCTAAAGCAATTCTGACGAGGATTTTGAGGGGATTTCGGAGGCTGATCTATCCCAAACAGTTCGAGAGATAGCAGAAGAGCTAGGCGTTTGCAAATCCACTGTTGCAGATGGTCTGGAACGCATTGGAAGGTGAGAAAACTCGACAATTGGGTGCCCCACAATCGGAGTGACCAGCAGGAATCGGCACGTCTCGAGGTTCCTTCTGCATTGCTTTTGCGCAGCAGAAACGACCTGTTTTTGGACCGAATTGTCACCTGTGATGAAAAATGGGTCATGTATGATAACAGGAGACGTTCCGGACAGTGGTTGGATTTCGACGAACCGAGGTAATTTCAAAGCCTGAACCCTCACGAAAAAAAGATTCTGGTCACGGCTTGGTGGTCATCGGCTGGTGTGATCCACTATAACTTTTTATCACCAGGCCAAACCATCACAGCAGAACCCTACTGTGAAGAAATCGACGAATTGTACCGAAAATTTTGTCAGATGCAGCCAACACTTATCAAAAGAAAGGGTCCGATTCTTTGCATGACAACGCCCGCCCACACGTTTCACAAATCACTATCCATAAATTGAACGAATTGGGGGTTGAAGTTCTACCTCACCCGCCATATTCTCCAGACCTTTCACCAACCGACTATCACCTTTTCAAACATTTTCAGAACTTCCTTGCTGAAAAATACTTCATCAATTAGGACCAGGCAAAAAAGACCTTCGTAGATTTCGTGGATTCTCGACCACCCAGTTTTTTCTTGATGAGATTTCTCGACTGCTGTCACATTGGCAAAAGTGTGCTGATTCGAATGGTGCCTATTTCGATTAAATCCGATGAGTATTAAAAAGTTACGATCGTTTAAAGTGAAACACCCAAAACGCTGAGAACTTTCCGGACAACCTAATATATATACCTCTCCCCGCTCAA